TGTAACATTACACCATATTAATCAGGTGTAACATTACACCAGTACCTGTAGTGTAACATTACACCATATTAATCAGGTGTAACATTACACCATATTAATCAGGTGTAACATTACACCATATTAATCAGGTGTAACATTACACCATATTAATCAGGTGTAACATTACACCATATTAATCAGGTGTAACATTACACCATATTAATCAGGTGTAACATTACACCAGTACCTGTAGTGTAACATTACACCATATTAATCAGGTGTAACATTACACCAGTACCTGTGGTGTAACATTACACCATATCAATCAGGTGTAACATTACACCAGTACCTGTGGTGTAACATTACACCATATTAATCAGGTGTAACATTACACCAGTACCTGTAGTGTAACATTACACCATACCAATCAGGTGTAACATTACACCATATTAATCAGGTGTAACATTACACCAGTACCTGTAGTGTTACATTACACCATACCAATCAGGTGTAACATTACACCATACCAATCAGGTGTAACATTACACAATACCAGTTAGGTGTAACATTACACCAGTACCTGTGGTGTTACATTACACCAGATCAATTAGGTGTAACATTACACCATACCAATTAGGTGTAACATTACACCATACCAATCAGGTGCAACATTACACCATACCAATTATGTGTAACATTACACCATATCAATTAGGTGTAACATTACACCATACCAATCAGGTGTAACATTACACCAGTACCTGTGGTGTAACATTACACCATATCAATCAGGTGTAACATTACACCATACAAATCAGGTGTAACATTACACCATACCAATTAGGTGTAACATTACACCATACCAATCAGGTGTAACATTACACCATACCAATCAGGTGTAACATTACACCATATTAATCAGGTGTAACATTACACCAGTACCTGTGGTGTAACATTACACCATATTAATCAGGTGTAACATTACACCAGTACCTGTAGTGTAACATTACACCATACCAATCAGGTGTAACATTACACCAGTACCTGTAGTGTAACATTACACCATATTAATCAGGTGTAACATTACATTACACCATATCAATTAGGTGTAACATTACACCATACCAATCAGGTGTAACATTACACCAGTACCTGTAGTGTAACATTACACCATATTAATCAGGTGTAACATTACACCAGTACCTGTAGTGTAACATTACACCATACCAATCAGGTGTAACATTACACCAGTACCTGTAGTGTAACATTACACCATATTAATCAGGTGTAACATTACACCTGTACCTGTGGTGTTACATTACACCATATTAATCAGGTGTAACATTACACCAGTACCTGTAGTGTAACATTACACCATACCAATCAGGTGTAACATTAGGTGTAACATTACACCATACCTGTAATTACACCATACCAATCAGGTGTAACATTACACCATACCAATCAGTGTAACATTACACCATACCAATCAGGTGTAACATTACACCATACCAATCAGGTGTAATATTACACCATACCAATTAGGTGTAACATTACACCATATCAATTAGGTGTAACATTACACCATACCAATCAGGTGTAACATTACACCAGTACCTGTAGTGTAACATTACACCATATTAATCAGGTGTAACATTACACCAGTACCTGTAGTGTAACATTACACCATACCAATTAGGTGTAACATTACACCAGTACCTGTAGTGTAACATTACACCTGTACCTGTGGTGTTACATTACACCATATTAATCAGGTGTAACATTACACCATATCATTCAGGTGTAACATTACACCATATTAATCAGGTGTAACATTACACCATACTAATCAGGTTTAACATTACACCAGTACCTGTAGTGTAACATTACACCATACCAATTAGGTGTAACATTACACCATATTAATCAGGTGTAACATTACACCAGTACCTGTAGTGTAACATTACACCAGTACCTGTAGTGTAACATTACACCATACCAATCAAGTGTAACATTACACCATACCAATCAGGTGTAACATTACACCATATTAATCAGGTGTAACATTACACCATACCAATCAGGTGTAGCATTACAGGTGTAACATTACACCAGTACATTACACCATATTAATCAGGTGTAACATTAGGTGTAACATTACACCATACCAATCAGGTGAAACATTACACCATACCCATTATGTGAAACATAACACCATATCAATTATGTGAAACATTACACCATACCAATCAGGTGTAACATTACACCAGTACCTGTAGTGTAACCATACCAATACACCATACCAATCAGGTGTAACATTACACCAGTACCTGGTGTAACATTACACCATACCAATCAGGTGTACCATTACACCATACCAATCAGGTGTAACATTACACCATACCAATCAGGTGTAACATTACACCATACCTCAGGTGTAACATTACACCATACCTGTCAGGTGTAACATTACACCATATTAATCAGGTGTAACATTACACCATATTAATCAGGTACCAATACCAGGTGTAACATTACACCATACCAATCAGGTGTAACATTACACCATACCTGTAGGTGTAACATTACACCATACCACCATACCAATCAGGTGTAACATTACACCAGTACCTGTGTAACATTACACCATACCAATTAGGTGTAACATTACACCATACCAATTACACCATACCAATCATGTGTAACATTACACCATACCAATCATGTGTAGAATTACACCATACCAATCAGGTGTAACATTACACCATACCAATCAGGTGTAACATTACACCATATTAATCAGGTGTAACATTACACCAGTACCTGTAGTGTAACATTACACCATACCAATCAGGTGTAACATTACACCAGTACCTGTAGTGTAACATTACACCATACCAATCAGGTGTAACATTACACCATATTAATCAGGTGTAACATTACACCATACCTTAAACATTACAGGTGTAACATTACACCATATTAATCAGGTGTAACATTACACCATATTAATCAGGTGTAACATTACACCAGTACCTGTGGTGTAACATTACACCATACCAATTAGGTGTAACATTACACCAGTACCTGTGATGTAACATTACACCATACCAATTAGGTGTAACATTACACCATACCAATTAGGTGTAACATTACACCATACCAATCAGGTGTAACATTACACCAGTACCTGTGGTGTAACATTACACCAGTACCTGTAGTGTAACATTACACCATACCAATCAGGTGTAACATTACACCATACCAATCAGGTGTAACATTACACCAGTACCTGTGGTGTAACATTACACCATACCAATTAGGTTAACATTACACCAGTACCTGTAGTGTAACATTACACCATACCAATCAGGTGTAACATTACACCATACCAATTAGGTGTAACATTACACCAGTACCTGTGGTGTAACATTACACCATACCAATTAGGTGTAACATTACACCATACCAATCAGTTGTAACATTACACAATACCAGTTAGGTGTAAACTTACACCAGTACCTGTGGTGTAGCAGCACAACTGCATGAGTGTAGTTTGAATGTAAACTTACATGGATGCCTATGATTTAACAAAACACCACAGTTGCGATGGTGCTTTAGTGTTACACCAACACATTTAAGGAAAGTTTATGCCAATAATGAGTGTAAACTCAACTGCCACCAGCAAAATCAGTAATGATTTAATATCACTACAGTAATGTAGATGGTATACATCATCATGGGAGAAAAAATCAAACAGAATTTTTTTTATTTCCAAGGTTGATACACCACACTACTGTTGAATTACCCCCATTCCAACAATGTGGTCAAGTGTGACATTTGACCCCCTAACTTTCACCGATTACCACCATGAATAACCTAACCACATGTATAAATTTTACTATACAATGCCATCGTGTAAATATGAACTTAAATCTTTTTGTTTGGGCTCATAAGATATAAATGTATTTGAAATGGATAGACAAAACAATCAGTTTATTTAATACCATAATATTTTGTTGAGATATCATTATTGACAACAAAAGAAATTAAATATCCCAACATTTTATTTCATAAACTTTCAAAATAGCCATGCAGTGATGCTACCTGCAATACACTTTCTTCATGATCAATAAAGCACTCTTTATCTTGCATGCCTATAAGAGTAATAACCAACAATATCCTCAAAATACCATACATACATTATTGTAATTACAATGCAATGTGGAAATAACAATATGTATACAAGTTATAATCAATCAAATCTTTTTTTATTAGCATTAAATATGAGAAAATGATTTTTGGTTAGAGAAAGTGTAATAAAAACATAAATCAATTCAGGGGTCAAGTGTTTAAACTGTTGTTTTACGACACTTTCTTCCAAACCAAACATAATATTATGTAGAGTTGATTCACAATTCTGCAAAATGCTATATGCCACCTCAAGACTGACTATCACATTTGGTGCATCTACATCAACAATGGGAGGACTTAGCACAGCAGCCAAAGTTGACCCACTGATATTTGTGTAGCCAACACTTAAGTATGTAAGTTTGGGTCAATGTTTTATATGTAAAAACTCGGTGTCCGTGATATTTCACATCCTGCAATCAGCAATGTTGACAGATTTTCGAGACATGGTACAAAAGACAGTGTAGAAAATTCTGCATAGGACAAGTCTAGCCAAAAAAAATGTTTTGACAGCGGTAAATATGTGTTTAAACATTCATCCAAAATAGCTACACTGTCATTAAAGTTACAGGTCATCATTGGAATATCTAGGCAGCAAAACTGGTGTGCATGCCTGAACACACTGTACACTTGGTCTTTGTTGGAAAAAATTGCTGCATCTTCTAACCACTTTAAATCCATGTGCTTCCACAGCACTGACCTAGTGTGTACAAAAGTGTTCATAAATCTACAGGTCCTGCTTACATTCTTCAACAGGTCAAATATTCCAACATATCCCAAGATCTTCTCCAATATCAAGTCCGGCAGGTCTGTCAGATCCACAAAATCACTCATATTGATACCTGAAACAAATAAATGTATACATGTATTGGAAATACACATGAAAATTGAACCCTTAATTTAGATTTTAAATACCATTTATTTTTTTTTATATGTAAGCAACATACCAAATTTGATTTATTCAACAGAGAAACAGACACAGACTAGACTGTCAAGACATGAAACAATATGCTCCCCAGTCCTCAATGGCATAAAATGACCAAAATCTTGACATAATTTTACCAAATATTATCAAATTTCTCCTATTGAAAGAATTTCCAATAAATTTCAATTTATCAAAATGTCAACATCCATGGAGGGCTATAATCATAATATCATTACCAACGACCATCAAAATACAAGCAGTTTAATTCCAATCTTACCTTTTGAGCAATTGTAATCACTTTCTTTGCTGGAGTCTCTCCAAATGACAATTGTAAAGCAAAATGCTGCAAAAACTGGTATGTATGTCTTGCTTTTATTGGATATTCAATATAGAATATCCAGTAGGTGGACATAAGCAGAAAAACTGCCTCCAGAATGTCTTTGTTATTCAAAATAATGTTGCCCTCTACAGCGATGTAAAATATCCTGTTTTTACTGTCAAATGGTTTGATGGCAATTATAAAAGGTGTCCTTGGTCCGCACTTCACTAATTCCATCAAGTTTTCATCAGTCTAAAAAACATAACACATGACATACATTATATACCCTGTGAGGCAAAAAAATGCAACCAAATTTAATCTACATTTTTAAGAGAATAATGTGTTTGTCCATCAAGAAATATCACAGTAAATGGATGCATGAAATAAATATTTAACGTGCCAAAACAGGTAAAGTTAATTTAAATTCCACCTCACAGCACTCAAATACCTTGTCATTATGATTAATTAATATTCTTGAAAGTCAAATTAGTTCTATAATTCTATTATGATGCAGATAGGCTTTTCTCTAATTAAACAATGACCATGAAAGTAAGTCAAGTCATTCATTTGAACAAACTTGGTGGACCAATATTCTAGCATGCTACTGGCCATATCCCAGTATTCTGGGTCTTTTCATTAGTCAGAGGAAGTTTGTTAAAGATTTTATAACATTTGACCCTTGCGACCTTGAAAGTGAGTCAAGGTCATTCATTTGAACAAACTTGGAAGGGCTTCACCCCAGTATGCTACATGCCTAATATCTGTACCCTGGGTTATGGTTATTGAGATGTTGTTTGAACAAAAAGTTTATACAGAAGGCATACAATGGATGATGGATGACAACGGATAAAGCACAATGAATATAAGATCAGATGACCTAAAAAAAAGCCCTCATAACAGGCTGCTATACTGTCCTAAAATGATGGATGTAGCTATCATTAACTTAAAGAATACCTTTTGCTTGAAAAACGTTAAGGGTACTTCAGATTGCAAGGCATATATAAGCAGAGTCGGAATTAACAGAAGCCATTTACAATTTTGTATCTCGGTATAACTAACTGAAATGTACAATAATTAGTGGCAAGATTTATGATAAGGGAGGTAACTTTGCTAAATGTGCCTATATCCCAGTTTTGAGAAATTACGCTCAGGCACCTGTATGTGTAATATATGATGAAACTTCATACTGAATAATTAAATAATTTATTTCAGAGCATCCTGATACCCATTGAATTGGAATGTGAAATTGTGGATTGTTTTAAACATAAATTAATAAAAGTCCATCAGTGTATTTTGGAACCTTTTCCATATAAATGTAAAATGGAAAGTTTCAGCTAAAATCTCGAGGGACATGGGTCCAGTATACAAACCCAAAACACACTGAAAGCACTGCTAAAGAAGAGGAAACTTTTGATTCATCAACCTGCATTGATATTAGTTAAAATATTTTACTCTGATGTACACCATAAATTAAAACTTACACTGATTTCTTTGATGAAGGAACCATCATCTTCGTCAAAGAGGTGTGGCAACATCAAACATGAAGCAATGAGTTTGTGAACAAATACAGATTTGGGAGTTATTTCATCCAGATCAGCAATCACACAGTCCAATCTATTAATTATTGCATCAGATCTTTCAGTCTTCTTTTTTTTGTTCTTAATAATGTTCATAACATTTTCTGGAATCTTTGTGAGGTTTGTCTTGAAAATTTTCATAGCGTCTACACATGTCAAACGGGTCATTTCCTTCGGACATACCTCAACTATTTTGAGTGCTGGGTACTCCTCTAAGATTGTTTGTATCGGTGGACCAGTATTTACAAGACTCCGACGAAGGGGAAAAGTCTTTTGCATGATATAGTCAATGTGATCAATGTCATTCTGACCACTATTGATATAGTCTTTCAATTCAGATGCCATATTTTCAAAGTCTTCATGGTTGCCTGTTACCAATGGTGCCCAGTTGGAACCCTTAGGTACACTTCTTTTCTTTTGCATGCTAGGTGTACTACTGGCACTGCTTGAGGCAGAGCTACCACTGTCCATTTCCAATTTTGTTCTTTTTTTTCTCCATTTCACTGCTGGTTCACTCATATTTCTGCGCATGTTTTTAAGTTTGTCATGAATGCACTGTGTCCATCCATCATATCCATTTCCAATTTTTTCTGTCAGGTATGGGTATGTGTCAGTGAGAAGCCTAGCTCAGGGTTTTCCATAAGAGCCGGTTGCCGGCCAATATGACTGGCTACTTTGATCATTTGGCTGCCTACACCAATCCAGTTCCATAATAATGTTCCATACACGACTACACGTACACGGCAGGCCAGCCTCCTACTTTCACTACACAGCCTACTACTAACAAAATTATGGAAAACCCTGCTAGCCACCTCACTTATTTGTCCATTTGCATAAAAAGTATACTCTGTTATAGCTTCCCCTATATGTTGCAACAACTCATGTTTGTTTGCCCAAGAAAGAGATTTTTCTTCCTGAAGATGGGTCAACAATATCTTGGGAGTATTTAGAACTGTCAAGCTTGAAAGTCTTTGGCCACATTCTAGTACCTCTCTTTTCTATCCCTGAAGTTGAAGCCTTCATTTCTGGTGATGAAATGATTGAACTGGTATCAGTATCATCTAAAGCTTCACTAAGAACAGATGACTGAGGTGTGGAAATTAGAATTAATGAATTATCTTCAACTTTCTCATCTGAATCAGTGATAGTGAGTTGAAGTTTTTCCTTTGTCTTCAAAGTGAAAAATTCCTTATCATCTGCAATATCAACATACTCATCCCAATCTTTATGAAATCGGTATGTTAACAGAACTAGTTTTTTTATTCCCAACTTGTTTGGTAAAGTCAATATATCTTCCTTGCAAATGGTGACAATCTTTGTTGAAAAACCACATTTAACAAGAAATTGTAGGTCTTCAGGGTCCTCCAAATTAGGACAGACAGTATCCATCTGAAACAAGAAAAAAAACAGAAAAATGTATAATGTGGAAACTTCACAGGAGGAAAATTACTTTTATAATAATAAACTTTATTTTCTGAGGATTACATACTTAGCCTACGGCTTATCTTCCATATGGTCCTTTTAGAAGTAAACAGTGTAACATTTCTATTATCCTTCAATACCTTTAGATGTATGATGCAAATGTAATCAATATTTAGCATGCTGTATATTGATTACTTACATGTAATTACATATAGCTGCAAAGTACCAAATGTGTGTCTTAGCTTTTACCTTTGAAAACAATGCAAAATTTGTGAAATAAAGGTATGCCTCCAGTTAAAATTGTTTGATACAAGAGGCCCATGAGCCTTTCAGTCATCTGACAAAAAAAACCAAAAGATTTTGAACTCATTGAAACCTTGGTTAAGAATCAAAGTCATTTGATTTTTAGCCCTAGGCCTCCAATCCAGAATATATACCAATATCAGCACCGTGGTCTTCTGGTTATCCAGAAAAAGTTTGTTAAAGATTTTTACATATTTGACCCCTGTGACCTTGAAAGTGGGTCAAGGTTTTGTGTTGTATGAAAATGCGCAGAATCCTGGAGGCAACAGGATCCTCTCTTTCCATTCCAGTAACAATAAAACATCCAATGTGGTAACATATTCCGTGAATAGTGACATCTTTCAAACAAGAAAATTGTTTTATTTGTAGGCCTTTCCTCTCAAACAGATTCTTGTATCCTGCTGCTCTTTCTGATATCGGAATGGTAGATGATACCTTAATTGATGCAGAAGAGTGTAGAAATCCACATTCAGCTACATAAGCTTGCATGGTCTGATGTCTGTTGGCTAAGTTGATGAGAGGTTTTTGAAATTCCCAAGTCGGCTAGCCATCATTTTAAAGTACCGATGTTTTGCTTCAAAACGCATACACCAACAAGAACGTAGTGGTCCAAAATTCAAAATCTGTTGTGGATAATGAATAAAAAAATGATGTTTTGGTGTCAGTCTTTCCCCTGAAAAACATTCCTTGAAAAGCATATGATGATCTGTAATGATAGCCTCTAAGTATGGACACATTCTCTTATGAATCCTCGGACACAGTGACACTTCAACTATACGTTTGAACAGTAACAGAAGTTCCCAGTCCATGTCTCCAGGAGGCACAAGGTCTCCGAGCATAAATGGAAGGAATCGCACCAATGTTCACATTTGAATAGCAGTCTGGGTGATACTTGATAGACTCTTTGGTGTAGCAGGTTTATCAGTAATATCACACTTATCAAACTGAAAACTGTCTATCCGTGAAATGACTAAATCTTCAGTGAAATAGCCATCTTTTGAGAGTTTTTTCAATACAAGAGGAATTTCCACTCTAGCACAACCTTCTAATAGATCATGCATACAGTCTGGAGGAAGTCCATTCATAACATGGAAATATTTCAGTTCATTGAAAGGGCTATTTATCTTCAGTCCATATTCTGAGCTAGCAGCATTACCATTTTCTACTTCATTCACTTGCCAATCATACGACTGCACATCTCGTTGACATACAGTTGACACATTAAAACCGCTTTGCACATCTTCAGGAGTTGCCATACAGAACCTACACACATGCTTCAAATTGGGTCCAAAACTTTCCATGAAGCCTCCAACTTGGTGACTTCCAAGATTATCAGCACATATATAAATTAAAGATCCTTTGAAATTATATGCAGTGCAATCATGTTTTATTGATAACCCATCTCATTCCAGAACTTTTAAATCATTTAAAAGTGGCTGTAGTATTGTTTGTCTGGAACAGGACACAAGATACATAGTTGAGTGCAATTTAATCCTGAGTGTTGGAATGGATTGAGATTTCCAAGTGACATATAAAGGCACCCATTTTGTGTTTGCCTCTTCTTGAACCGAGTGGGTTTACTACTTCAAATTCATCATAGTAAATAATAACTTGAATACAATTTTTTTCTGACTTAAATAGTTTGTTTTCAGAATAGTGTATACCATCTTTGAAGTCAATCAGAATGTTTTAGTTCTGGTTCTTGTTTTCATTCCCCAATATTGATGAAATTATGTCCTCATCTTTCAACATACATTGAATTGTTTCCAAAGTAGGTATGTATTGAAATTTTCTGTTTGTGTTTGCTATTTGCTCCCAAATATACAGTGCATGGCTGAACAAATGGAAAGTTTTCCTGCATAAACACATGTCTCCTGTAGGCGGATGAAAAATTGACAATTGAAGAAGAAAATACATTAGTTTGAATTTCTTTAACAACTTCCTCCAAAAGGTCGGGCTGAATCTGTGCCTTCAATTTGTTAACAATTTTTTCTTTTACATTTTCCATTGTTATTTCAAAAAAGGTTTTTATTTCTTCAATTACACTATGAATTGTTGATACAGGAAGATGGAGAAATTCCTGATGTCTAAGGAACACTTGTGCAAGACTTTTTTCATAACAAGATATGAATACCTCATCTTCAAATTTGTTTGTGTTGTTTAAATCATTTCCTTGTTGTACATGTAGCTCATCTTGATTTTCTATGTTAGCTATATCCATAGATCTAGATTCAATGAAAATATTCTTCACGCCATACAGGGTCAGGTTGGGATGTTTTCTTGTTATGTGAGAAGTAAAAGAGGAAAATACACTATATTCACATTCACAGTTTTGCGCGGGGCAAGTTATTGCGTCCCCCGATTTAGCATGTGTTACCAAATTATTTTAACTGGCCGTAATGACTCTTTGCACAAGTAACACATAAGGTTCTCATGAATATCGATTATATCAACAAAATCATTTCCTGAAAAAGCACTATCACTACTAAGTGTTCTGTAAACGTGACTCGTAAATGACGAATGCTTAGAAAATGTTCGCGGACATCCATTAATTCCACATGTTATAATGTGTTTCACCGACACATGCCTCACATAATTCTTAATCGATGATGAAGCTTGACCACAAACAACACACTCCATTCTTTTATCAGTATCAGTATCGCCGCCCCGCCACACGCTAAATACTTACTTCGAATCACTTGAACACTTCCCTTTTCCATGGGATGCACAGTCTCCAACTTAGTACTTGTCTCGAAAATACTTGAGGCCATCTAAGTACTTTGGCCATATTCTGTAAACTTTGTAGTGACACGGATTTTACTGGAAGTTCGATAACTCTGGATGACGAAGATGACACAGTAGAGGGTAAAGTTACTCCGAGATTGGTACATATAATAACTTCCGAATCTGAACTGTTGAACTGTTTTACATTGAGATTGATAAGTTATTAGAAAGGGAAACATTAACTTGGAAGCAGGGATTTCAAGGTTTAAAACTGAAATAGTTGGAGATCCGAATCAGCTATAGATGGTTACATTAAAAATAATTTAGATGAGAGGTTGAATGTGTCAAAGCATTTGAATTTATAAAAAATTTGTTGTTTTTCGTAGAGTTAATGTGACCGTATTTTAGGTTTGAGATATTGCTATTTCCCCGTTCTTTAATTTCATCAGTAGCGATGCCTCCGTCGCCGTGAAATACATTTTAGTATTTTGTGTTGTTTATCCTATTGGATAATAAAATAGAGAAAACAGTTTTAAACACACGCTTCAGTGCAAACATGGATACCTTCTCCATCAGTTCATGTTATATCCCCCGATTAACAAATACTCATTAAGTATCCGAGTGTTAGAGAAAGTTAAAAATAATGTCTAAACGGCCAAATCTGACTGCCTACTCAGGTAAACATTTCTTTTAATACAATACCAATGCGGGAAAGTGGAAGTATGTGTAAACCAAAAGTAGTATACTAATAATGTAAAACTGAACTGGTATTTCCGGAATTTAAATTAATATTAATGGATTTGCCTGTAAGCTAAATAAAAATAAATTAGAACTCAATTGGTTTAGTTACATGTGCTTAAAATAACAAAGTTGTATTTATAGCCATGTAATCGATTTGAAGCAAAATAAAAAAAAGACAATTTTATGAAGGAAATGTACATTTATCGATTTACATGTTTTCCTGTAATGATCCCAAATTAATGAAAAACACATAAAACACAATCACAATTCACAGTATATAACCGGACCAATAAAACCAGAGACTGTCTTTACGTTTCAAGACTTTCGGAATACTTTAATGA